CGGGAATTCTTCAAAACGTTTTTTTTTTTTTTTTTTTTTTTTTTTTTTTTTTTTTTTTTTTTTTTTTTTAACATGACAACTATCACTCATGCTGGTTTGTCCATGCCATTAGTGGCTCCAAAAGTCCATCTTCATAATTTTTTTTTTTTTTTTGAGCACTTTTCAAGTTGGGAACCAGAACATGCTGGAAACTTAACATCTTTGGCTAGTGCCATTTTTAAAATTTAGCCCAGAGCACATTCTATATTTAGATAAAATACCAAACCAAAAGGATGAACTAGAACTGTTAAATGAAAGAAAGAAAAAAAAGAAAAAAAAAACATGTGACTGCCCAAAATGTATATTTTTTCAATAGTTAAAAAAGTGGGGCATTAAAAAAAAATCTAACCCAATCCCACCCCACAAACAAAAACAGTTTAAAAACAGTCCTATTTCACACAATGTATATGATTTGCCAAACCAGAATATCAACCTGTGTATGCATGAGTAAAAACACTTTCAGTCATTCAAACTGAATATCCACTGAAATGATGAGGAGTCTTCATTAAAATAGAGGAAAACAAATCAAGCAAAAAAATAAAAAAAGAACAAAAAAAAAAAACTACAAACATAAAGAAAAAAGCAGTTGATTTAATGAAAGTGCCACAGACCTGGCCTCATTCATTCTATGGCTCACTGAAACAAACGGGGGAGAAAAAAAAAGGAGCTCTTTTTGTAATTGGTGAAATAATGATTACGTGTCACAACAATTCCTATGATCAATTGAACAAAAAAAAAAAATAATAATAATAATAAAAATGAAACACTTTGGTGACGTTACCTGCATACCTTTAGTTACGCTATCGATGTATGCTCTCAGCTCAGGAATTTTAATCCGAGCCCAAAAAGTAAAAGTTGAAATTTGCACCTTACTGAAGAAGTGACAACACATTTTTATATATTAAAAAAACAAAACAAAACAAAAACAAAACATTTAAAACAACGTAAATAAAGACGGCTATAAGAGCATGATAATAATAACACAAGTAATATATTTATATTTTTTTATATATATATATATATATTTATACGGCAGAAAAATGTGCTTTCTACAAATCTTTGGAACACAAAATAATAGTCAAAAGAAAAAGCCACATTTTGGAAATATAGGGTACAATAGTATAGAAATATGCACAATAGTAATGTGTTTTGCATTTAAATATTCACAATCAACTCACCAACGGAATCTCTGTCTTGCTCAGTAATTGCTGTTGGCAGCATCTTAAACGCAATTACCAACTAAAGTATGTTTCAGGAAGACTCATCCATTGCTGGACTCTATAAAAGATGAAGAATGAGGGGAAAATCTAAATAATAGAGCTTTACAATAAACAGACCACCGGATACCTGAACAACCCCTACGGCTGCAAGCAGATGATCTCCAACAGGATGTAAACTTAACAGGAACATGTTTACAGTGTAGTGTTGCATTTTTTTTTGTAGTGTTCTATGATGGCCGCACACAGACTGTGTAGTGAAATTCTGTGCATGACCAAGAAGACGTGAGATATAGTTGGTATATTACTGAAGAGTGGAGTGTTTGTAATAAAGATGCATTGTTTTTTTTTTTCTTTGTTATTATACCCCCCGAGTTTCACTGATGAACCTCCACCACAGTGGTGCAGCTGTTTCAAACAATAAAAAAAAAAAAAAAATGGTTTTATATTAAGAAGAATGAGAATAATTACAACAGTAATAATAATAATAATTTGGTAATTTTTTTTTCTCTAAACTAATTTCTTTGCATATCATAACATTTTTTTTTTTAAGTTTAAAGGTTTACCATTTCCACATACAAAGAGAAATTTGAGGTAAGGAACAGCTCTAATAAACCCCTCCCTCCTTCAGCTTTCCGTCATTTCTCCAAGACGCTGGGTTCGGTCTTCCTCACAGCAGAACACTGAAAGAGTGAAACTCGTCCTTTTACCATCTGCCGACATTGCGGACGGACTCTAAAACGCACCACTGGGTGCTTTTGTTATTTCGCCATTCTGGTTCAAAAATCTTTTTTGCGGGTGCTCTAACCGAAGGCACCTTTCTGCTCTCGAGACTGTCTGCTTCCCTCTTACTTTCCTCAAGAGTGTGTGCAGGCCAGGCGGCGCTCGGCTCCTTCTAAGGCAGCTGCTCAAATGTCCATTATCCACATACAGCCTCTGGAAGAACGCCTGGGCTCTGTCCCCAAATCTTGTGCTGCTGAGTGCTGAGAGAATAACAGGGGGAGACTATAATACAGCCGTGCAATTGAGAAGGTGGCCACTTTTCAGTCAGATTTTTTATTTTTATTTATTTATTTTTTTAATGTAAAGGCGACCCTTCAGTCTTTAATACAGCTTTCCTCTATTTTTGTAGAAGCTTAGATAAGAAAACGTGGGACTGCTTGGGGTAGGGTCTGAAATATCTTTGCTGTGGTCGACTCCACTCTTTAAAACAGGGCGCAGTCCACCTCCAGGACAACAGAGGGAGCTCTTTCAGAGTAATTCAATGGGAGAGGGGAGGCCCTGGGTCATGTATTGTCTTTTAATAAGGGGCAAATCTGCTGTAGCCTCCCCTGTAGAGCGTGGCCTGAAAAAAAAAAAATACAGAAAGATATTTACATTTTTTGCATTTGTTTCAGGGAGGACCTCATAGCATAACTTATAACGAATCCCCGCATAATTTGTTTTCTTTAAACATGCTTACTCTCTCCCCCATGATGAATGCAGCTGTGAGACATCTAAAAACACTGATTTAACATAGCGTAATCATGTATCTTACATTATAGTTTAGAGCCAGAAAACGTACAAATATGGTGATGACAGACCACTCAAGCAGTGAGTCAACAGCCAGACCATCGAAATTACCTCAGCAGGTATGAAGTTTCACAGGTAAGACAATGGAAAGTGTTTACATCTCCATATCCGTTTTTTTTTTTCAGTAAAAAAAAAAAAAAAAAAAATTGCAAGTTTCCTTTTTTAAAGGAACTCAATAATCGCTCTCTTGCACTCCTCCTACATGTTAATACACAGTAAATAGCTTCAGCAACATGCTTTTTGGTCACTGTCTGAAGAAAATATATTAGATGTTTGACTCCAGCAGTTGCCACATTGTATGAACCTCTCCCACTCACGCCATATGAAGTATTAGTGAAGAACGGTTCACTTAAACTTACCATGGCTCCAACACCGTAGGCTGCTGGGGCCAGTGCAGCATGGTAGGGATCTGCCGTGTAAACTCGTCCGTAGCTGTGAGAAACATTTGAAAGTATTTGCTGAGAGACAAATAGCAACATTTGTATGCAAAAAAATAATAAACAGCAACAATGTGATAATGAAGGGTTTGTTATTGTTTTAAATATACTTGTATATTAATTTTGACACCATATTTTTATTTAGTTTGTCACCTAAATCTAACTGCATTTTAGCAAAGGAAAAATGCTGCAAAAGAAAGTAAGACTGAAGTGTGAAATCCCGGAGGAACGCACTTTTAGAAGGACTCCTATCACATCTTGAAAAAGAAAATGTTTGATTACACTCACTTCTAATATTTAGCCTAGGATCAAACATAGCTTTTATTTATTAGTGCTAAAATTAGATATTGTTGGAATTATATTTTTTTATTATATATATATTTTTTTTGTTTTAGTTTGCTTTTTTTTTGTCAATGGCGACAAAAACTGACAAAGGTTTTGTGGGCAAATTCAAATTTACATATTACTTGTGAATTAACTTATTAACACAGTGCAAATAACTTTTTTTAAAGTGATCCTGTTGCATGTTGGAAAAGGTTGGATGAGTAGATCCTAGAAGGCTCCTGTGAATGTTTAGCTGTTTGTGTTTTAAATGCTTTAAAGACGTCCAGAACTATTGACTCACCTGTCACTGTAAGCTGCTGCTGCAGCGGCTGCTGCTGCAGGAGTCGCTACAGCAGCCGGCTGGGCGTAACGATACGCTGCATAGCCGCCCTGTGAGGAGGCGATGGGAGAAGAGGGAGATGGATGAAAGTACGTGGGAGTGCAGAGGAGGACATGGGGACGATGTAGGGACAGGTGGGAAGGGGCAGGAAGAAAAATGAAACATTTGTTCAATGCTCACTATGTGCTTTCTGCAGTGCAGAGGACTAGTTTTGAATCTAAAGGGTTATATTGTGAGAGAAAACTGCTGAGAAGAGCGAAATATTAACAAGCAGACAGTCAGCAAAACTGGCTAATCTGGTGCAGTACAGCATTCACAAGGATGTAGCTCCGGCTCTGTGTTTCTCTCTCACTCCATGACTAACTCAGCAAAACTATCCGTAATTGTATGTGACGCTATTTTTTTATTTTTTTTTATGTTTTGGACTGTTTGCAGCCTTCAACGTGCGTCATCTTCCCCACTGTGTTAGACAGAGAGGGAGAGAGACCTTAAAGCCATAAATGTGCCCAAACCACCGTTCCCTTTCAAAAACACACGGTCTGAGAAAGGGGAAGGAGAGGCAAGATGACTGTGCCATTATTTATGTTTGCATGAACAGCTTGTGAACAGACACCAAAGGAAAAAAACAACAAAAAAACAAAACTACAGGTGTAAGGAGACAGTCAGCCAGTTGGATTAAAAATAAAGAGCAAATCGCGCACTCTCACGTGGCCGGCAACCAATCACTGACAGACACGGCATGCTTTCCCAAACTTAGAACACATATTAGGTAAAAAAAAAAAATAAAAAATCCTACAAAAAAATAAAATAAAATAACACACACCACTGCATTCTACCCTAAGGAATCAGTCACGACCAAGTCCCTGCATTCAGGACCACACATTGGCTGCTATGGGGGGGAAGGCTGGACTAAATAGGAGCGGAGGAGGACAGAGATGAGGAGAAGGAACAAGAAGATGGAGGGAGGAGGGGAAGAAAAATGAGCATAAAAACAGACTGGAAAGGAGTTGGAGAGAACGGTAGAGTAAGAAATGGAAAGGAGATTTAAGAAAAGCAAGAGGGAGAATGGAGAATAAAACTACTGCAGCTAGAATGAAAAAGAAAGAGGTGAGTTGGGAGGATGGAGAGATTTGGGAGATAACAGGAGGGAGGGGGGGAGCCAGCCTTGTAAGTATGTCCGCATGCTGACACTGATTCAGTTAGCATGCCACAGGTGAAACAGATAGGGAGATTCCTGGAAGGGGTCTGAAGTAACTGAATGTGTGTGTCCTACATCCTTCTGACTGCCAGTGTACACTCTGTGGACTACAACACTACTCACGACCGTTTCCTTTATCCTCACTTTCCCAAAACTTAAAATGGATAATTTCACTGAACAGTCCACACTGGGTTATTATTAAATATAGATTTGCCTTAATTTATCATCTGGATTTATCTGACACTCTGACTCACTGGGACAAAAACAGAAGTGTTGGGCATATTCAACAAGAAGAATAACTTTATTCAACGTTTATCTTTTTAAAGTTTCTACTCCACAGTCAACACCTTTTAATTGAAAGGTCAAGATAATTTGCTGAAGAACTGTCTATGCTGTGTACTGCAACTTTATAAGTTCTGACTCATTCTTTCATGTAGGAGAAGACCTTTTTTCCCTTAATTTTCTTTTGGACAGCTGCACAGATCCATAGCGCTTTCTTACAAAGCATAGACTCTCCACACATCTCAGATTAATTGTAAAAACAGCTGAGAAAAATATTGCAGCTGTAGTGTGCCTAAGATTAAAATCTACGGTAATAAAATACATTGAAGTTTGCAGTGGTACTGTGACAAAAGGTAACAAAAGGACCTGCTAAGCACTCCATGTACAATTGAAACCAGAAGTTTACATAGACCAAAATAAAAAGACACATGTACCTTTTTTCCCCACCGTCTGCAGTTAAATCAGACTAAATCTTTGTTGTTTTAAGTTTATAGGCTGCCTGGATTGAGATCAGGGCTTTGTGATGACCACACCAACACACTGACTTTGTCGTTCTTGGGCCAGTTTGGCTGTATGCTTTGGATCGTTGTCCATCTGGAAGACCAACCTGGACCCGAGCTTTAATTTCTTGGCTGATGTCTTCAATATTTCCACATATTCTTCTTTCCTCATAATGCCATTTATTTTATGAAGTGCACCAGTCCCTCCTGCAGCAAAAGAGCCTCACAACATGATGCTGCCACCCACATATCCTTTACAGTGTTCCCAAGCTTTCAAGTGCCTTTGCCTTTTCCTGCATAAACATACAAACATGCCTCCATGCACACATTATTTGTTTTTTGTAAACATCACTTTTAAGACATTATTAAATGAATCTCAGAGAATTCTTTCTCTGATAAAAAAAAAAAACTTCAGAAAGTGAAAAGTAAATGTGTATCTGTCTTTTCATTCAGTGCTTGTGAGCTTCTGGTTTCAAGTGTAGGCATCTTAAAATTTGTCTTGTAAAACAATCAAGTTATTCTGCAATATCTCAGTCCATTACTGTAACTGCACACCTGCCATCTGGATTTCAACTTATCAATTATGTATCCACATCACTTGGAAGATTCGTTGTTTTCTTTGGGAATTTTAGCCCAATTCTTTTCTCCCCCTTCCGTAACTCCACCCATGTCAGAATCCAGTGAGTTAGTAAAAGAAGACAGAAGAGGCAATTCAATCTCAGATGGTCAATAATGTCTAGCAGCACGCAGTCATTGGAGACGAGGAGGATGCACACTGGCTGTCACATAGAGTGTGTAAACCCTACCTGGGGCAATCTGCCACTAATGTCCTGAAACACTAGTCTACAGAGAGAACAGAAACAGCTATTGTCAACCTGGTCTCACACACACACACATACACACGCAGCAACACACTCATGATCACACTGGTACAAACTTACTCCACAAAGGCACAGAAACAAACCCCAGAAGAGTTTACTTGTGAATGGGCCTGATTTGAACGGTTTGCTGCACTGAGGAGGAATACTGCATATCACCAGGTGTGTTACTAAATACTTAGGGCTCTTAGAAAATACCTAAAAAATAAACTTGGTGTGACGCATTGTAATAATAATTTCAGATTTAGGCAGAATGACACAAAATGCGTTACAGTGACTAATCGAAACTGTCAAAAGTACACGCCTCTATGGGTTTGATCCGCACCGTTTCACACTTGAAAAACCCACAGGCAAGCGAAGGAAAACGTAGGTGACGAGTGAAGCAGTGGAGGAGAGGCAAGGCATACTTACATAGAGGTCAGCCGCACTGTAAAAACCATCCTGATAGGCCATCACACTGAGAGGGAGACAGACAACAGCAGGAGAAAAGACAGAAAGGTAGAGAGTACAAAGGAGTGGCGTTTGGAAAACCCAAAAAAAAAAAAAAAAGAAAAAGAAAAAAAGAAAAAAAAGAAATCAAAATGGAACAAAACAAGGAAATAATGGAGTGAAGCGCCATCGTGTGGACAGAGCAGAAAACAACAAATAGAGAAGGTGATGGGGAGGTGAGAAAACGGTGCCAAAGAAATTGTGAGAGAGAGAAGAGAAAAGAAGGGTGAGATTATTACACACCGTGCAACATGCAAGACTAAATACCACCTCTTTGTATACAGATGCACCGACTTCAAAGTGTTACTACTGCTACTTCAGCTGGTGAGATTTACCAAAAACAAATAACTTCAATTTAATTTTATGACAAACTGCGGTCACATCATAATATGTTTAAAGGTACAAGGAAATGGTATCTTAGCTCCGCAAACTATCAAAGTTATTATTTTTATAAAAATGTATCCAAACACAACATGCACGATCTGAATCACTATCTCACTAAGTGAAGCCATGCTTTAAAAGAAGATCGACCTTATCCAAGATTTTCCTTACTGATCTAAAAATACAGGTATTTCTATTACACATATTTACATATATATTTACCCAGGGTATGCTGGGATGGCAGGTTGTGGGACGGCAGCCCTGACCGCGCTGTAGACGGGCCGAGCTCGACCCCGCAGATGCGTTCCTCGAAAGGTCGCAGCGGTGGAAGCGGCAGCCGCTGCTGCTGCTGCCGGGTACGGGAACCCTGGAACTGATGATTAGACAATTATACGACAAAACATGCAGCTTCATTGTATTAACAGTGGTGCAGTATTAACAATATCTCCACAGAGGAAAAAAAACAAACATCTCGATTAATCTGTGTTTTCATAATTTATTACCTAAGTAAGTGGCTGTTGGCAATCATTTACAGTTTCTGCGGTTTTATTCAGCTAAACCGATGCAATTAAAGTTGTTTGGTATTCAAGCTTCTAAAAAAGCTTCACATTTCAGAGTCAGGTTGGTGTTAATAAAGGTAGATGTTGTCAAAATAACAACTAGGCTGTAAAAAAATACATTCACATTGAATGTATATACATACATTGAAGCAGAGACACATCTAATAGTTGCAAAACTCTGATCCTTGGGGTGAGGGGTGCCAAGATTGTGTCTTGAGATTATACTAAGCTCCACCTGTGTAGTTATGCGCTAATGCTTCACCTCTTATGGTCACACTGATCATGACTGATTCTCATTTTGTATTTCTTCTATTGGTCCAAGAATCATACCAAACTTCTTGCCTTGTGCAGATCTATCTTGCTCCTCACTTTCCCAGAACAGAACAAACCGGTTCAATAACCAGGAGTCCTTAATGACCACATGGACAAGTCACCATGTGGACAACCTGAATTCTGGTTGTATTGGCGCAAATACTTATTTCAGAAGTATAACTCGCAGTGTACAGAGATTAAGTACAAATATATAAAATTTAGGGGAAAAAAACTGTATTTCCAGCCAATGTTTTTTTTTTTTTTTTTTTAAAAGAAAGATACGTTGTGGCAGTTAAAATTTTGTGTTTCACAGAAGAGTAGCTGACTACTCAGGTTGTAAGGAGTTCATTGTGTTCATCAGAGAGACAGCCTGGAGGAAGAAACCATCTCTACAGTTTATGGTTCTCGTAAACAGCACTCTGTAGCGAGACCTGAAGGTAAAATCCAGGATGTGTGGGGTCTGCAGAGATGCCAGCTGCCCTTTTCCTAACCCTAGACCTGTACAAGTCCTGGATGGAGAAATGGTCAGCCCTGATGATCCTCTCTGTAGACCTAATTGTTTGCTTTAGTCTGGACTCGTTTTGTTCTGTGGATGAGCCTTGATGACATGCAAACTACTTATTTTTTAGATTGCAGGTTGATGTTGTCCCACTGAATTAAAATAAAAGCACAACAAAAGACTATCTTATAAGAAACATGTTTTACCTCCGCTATAATTTATAGTTTTAGTAATACTCAACAATTTTGGAAAATAAAAGCCTGCGGATGTGCAGATGTCTCTTGTTCTAATTCTTAATTTGTCTTTGCAAGGTTTTGCCTGCAAATTCTTTATCTGCTGGATATTATTTGAGAAGCAGAATAAAATTCGCTTCTTAATATCTTACCTGTATAGAGCTCAGGACTGTACATGGCTCCAACCATAGGACTTAACTTCCAACCAGCTGTAGGAATAAAATAAAAAATAAAAATAAAAAAACAGCATCAAGGCAACATTCCTACATGAAGAAAACTAACATTTTCATGACTAGTAACTTAACAGGTGAAAGGAACAATCCAATATGATATTTTTATTTCTGGTCCGTAACAGCGCGAAACAGAATGAATAATGCGATTTGAACCCAAATGTTGGATCAGAACTCAAACAAATCCTTGTAAAATGATCAGTGATTGAGTCCTAGAATAAACACATCCACCTTTCAATGTTGTTTGTGTGCTTCCCCACATCTTCTAAGCTGTTTGGGAGAGCAGTTTAATAAACTTAATATTGGAGCTTGAGATTTATAAAAACTTAAGCCTATTGACAGAAATAGCAAAAATAATAAATAAATAAAAAAAATAAAATAAAAAATTGCCTTATGGTTTTAGCCAAAACCATAAGGCAAGCATTAAAACTTCAATACATGAAGTAATTAAATCTAGACTGAAATATTATACAACAGTTTTTTTTATTATTACAGCCACACTTTAAACAGCTGCAATTGCACAACAGGTGCAAGTTCAGTTCAGTTTAAAGCACAAAAAGTTAAAAAATGACCTTTTTTTTTTTTTTTTTTTTTTTTTTTTTTTTACGTATGAATGTGTGTGTGTGTTCAGTCAAGAGTCAGAGACCAAATGCTTGTGGGTAAAGTGTTAAAATTAAAGGTCTGATGTGGCAAATCTATGACGAAGACTGTCATTAAATTATAAATCTATGCAGAAACCATGACAATTAGTGGGACAGAATTTCTGTCCTTTAGAAAATGTAATACAAGAAAAAACTCAGAAACAAATTAAACATTTTTTATAAATGTAAAATGGTCAGATAAAATTCTACGCTTTATAAGACTATGTAGGGTCTTTCTTTCTTCACACAAGTCATATCTATTATGTAAAGAATACATGCTGTTTTTGCAGCTTGCAGCTGTAACTACATTTATAGCTAGAATAACATTTTAAAGATTATACAAATGAGACCTATTCTGCCTTTTAAAGGACTATGCTGTTATTTTTTAGTTGTTATTATCCAAAATCCTTCTGTCTGATAACTCAGAGTTTATCCAATGTAGGATTTCACTGAGCAGCACTGGAATCCCACAGACTAAAATAAAGATGTTGCCACGGAGGTAATTATGGGAAACATTACAACGATGATTTCAGCTATGAAATGTGCCTCTCTTTTTCATCTGTGATTCCATCTCTCTGTGAGCTTTTAACCTTTAGCATATTGGAGAACATCATTTGTGCTGTTGGTTAATTATTACATTGGTATGAAAAATGGACAATAATAACAGTTGGAATATATCAGCCAACGATTACTGCACTCCAAGCAGCCCTTTATGGTGTTAAGATAGCCCTCATTAATACTGCGATGATGATATATTTGTGATATATATAAAATGAGTTTCATTCCTAAAAAGCTGTCAATATTTATATTGTACTAAAAAGGAGAAAAGTCACCAGTATAGCTTAGGATAACATGTTACCATATGGCAGTGCTGCAAGGCCCTCTCCATTAGCGTATGGTGTGGTCATTTTCTTGTTTGTCATCACTCTGGCTGTGGCATTATTAACCTGGAAAATAAACAAAAGGTTTAGGAGCCAATTTATTCAGTTTTTTTTTATAGAGATACAAGCAAAATTCAGGAAATATGAACATTTTAATAGGAATACATTTNCTTAAAATTTTAGAACATATATTTTATTTTTCACAAAAATCTTCTGCTTTTCATGTGAGGCGCCATCGTACTTTTAATTTCAGTTTTTATTCTTGACAGGGTGTTAATTCTGTAGATGAGCAGCGATGGTATTTAATGCATGCGCTTCTTTTGAAAGAAGAAACACTGAAAACAAGGATCCCAGTGAGTAATCAGGCAGTTTTGCACACAAACATTGCAACTATTGGCACATAGAACAAAGAAAATCAAAAAATATATATATTTCAGAGCAAAGGCATTCGAAAAGAAATCCAAGACCATTATATTGCTGCTAAAAAAAGGAGGAGACAAAGAAGGTGAATTAAGCAGCAGATTTGTCAGTTGAACAAAATGCAAAAACTTATAACCAAAAATAAAATAAATAACATCAATCAAACAGTTTGTACAGAAATTACAGACAGCCAACCAGGAGTGCATCACATCACCAGAGGTGAGCAAAACTAACCAATTAGCAAGCATCAGATGCAGCAAATAGACCAATCAAAAACAGAAAAGAAAAAAGGTTGGATTCCCTCCCAATTGAGAACACATCATACAGAAAAGGGAGGAGGGGACGGAGAACAACAGAGAAAGGACAGAGGATGCAGGGGGAAGTGCCAGTCCACATGAAAGGAAACAGAAAAACACAGAAACGTGAGGCGGAGAAGAGTGGGGGTGAATGATTCATCCAAATGTGCAGTTCTTCCAACCAAAAAAAAAAAAAAAAAACAATAAGATGTGATACATATACAACACACAAATCTGATTGTTTGCCTACATCCAGTCTAACTGTACATGAGCCATGATGGAGGAGATGATGATTGGTGCAAAAACGGATACAGAGAGAAAGGACAGCACAGAGAAAAGAAAGAGAGGATGGGGGATGCAAGTATCATTTCTCAAATTAAAAAGAAAAAATCAAAACAAAAAAACAAAACAATTCAACCAAACCAAAAACAATCAAACCATTGCTGTGAAACACTGCCGGGCATTTCAGATCAGTGTCGCACACCAGAAAACACCTCGTAGCACACAACCGACGACACACACCATCCAGAACCAAACTGATCAAAAGGTAAATCAAGGACACCTCCTCACAGAAATCAGAACAAGGCAAAGCTGTTTTCATTTATGTTTGCCAGGAATTATTTCAGGGTGCTTTTTTTTTTATTTTATTTTATTTTTTTATTTTATGTCAGCTTTGCTTTAAAAATCGGCCCCGTTTGGGAACCTGAGCTACTCATCCACGAAACACAGCTCTGATTGAAACATTAAGGCTGCAAACCTGCACTTCGACAACAGTCTGAGCACTGGTACAGGAAGTGATCATCAAGCACTACAGCACGCCATGATATACAGACAGCTATTATCCCCTCTCCAGAAGAGCTAACATAGCACTCATGCTCCAGCATGCTCTCCCGCTAACAAGGTGCAAGAATGCAGCTATTGGCTGACACATGACACAGAGAGATGACATAGTACTACATGACGTCATACAGATGACCAGAAAGAGAGTAAACCATGCAGGATACAGCTCACGAATTAAATGCTTTGAATGCAGTTAGAGGTGATTGTAATGAATGCATTAAGAAGTGGTAGTCGTAGTTGTTGCACTTGCAGATAGATGCGGTACATTCAGTTACACAAGTGGCCTTATTGTAATGCCATGCGGTAAATGGCTAATCTCCTAATAGTCTCATTCACCACCTCCCCAATCAATCACAGGATTAGCCAATCAGGTTCTGTCCACCAATCAGTCAAGCTCCCTGCAGCAAGGGAATCCTTTGTTTGGGTGCATTTTATTATTTTTTTTTTTTTGTTTGTTTGGGCGCATGGGGTGGGGGGAGGGGTCATTCAAAGATGATGCCATGTGTACACAACTTACCGTGGTCGGGGGAACGGCGTGAGGACACGCGAGCAGTTACCGTGGAGACTGACAACAACAACAACAACATACAAAAATCATCAGGGAAATCGAGAAAATATGCGTAAGAAACAAATGATGAACCAAACAAAAGAAGAAAAGTAAAACAAAATAAGGCAGGAAGGGGGAGGGACAAACAAAACGAAGTAATGAAAAGCAACCCCCACCCTGTGGTAGAAAGGAAGTGATGTCAGAGGTCACATGACAATAGTCACCTGCAAGTATCAGCCAACCACCTAGCCTCTATAACCCACCATGATGACAGATCATAAAGGTTAAAGAAATGGAAGGAGATGAAACTCAGGGGACACTCTACAACGATAAAATAAGAAATTAGAAATTCAATCTCTTTCTAGAGTGATTTTGCCTCTTACTACATCACGAGACAGAAAAATGAACAAAGATATGGAGGGATGAAGGTTGACATGAGGACAAAAACAGAGAGACAGACTGGTCGGGTGTGCAAAGAAAGATAGAAGGAGATGGAAGAAAACCTACTTAAAAATACAGAAAGGAGAGGGAATGACAGCTATCTATGGCATTCTCTTCACTTCTTTCTCCACCCTCCATTTTTTTTTTTTTTTTTTTTTTTAACCATCCCTTTTGCATTTGGGGTTTTTTTTTTTTTTTTTTTTTTGTTTTGGAAAATAAA